CACATGAAATCAAACCAGTCCTTTACAAATGCTATATTTATGACACTTTCTTGCTGTTTCGACAATTAAGTCACGTTTCCGAGTTTCTTTCTTACCTTATTTCCCAACACCCCAATTTGAAATTCACATCCGAACTCGAAGAAAATGTTTCCTTACCTTTCCTAGACGTCAGGATTACCAAAGAAGATAAAACACTCTTCGACCTCTGATTATCATAAAAGAACTTTTACTGGCCTCTACACTAATTTTGATAGTTTATCCCTAACTTCTTCAAACGTAATTTGGTTATATCATTGTTAAACGGAATTTTTAATCTTTGTTCTAATTATTTTATTTTACACGAAGAATAAACACATGTTTATTCTCTAATAAAAAAACTTCTACCCTAAAATTCAGCTTAGAATAATATACAGATCTAGCATTAAACACTTATTTCAGTACAAAGATCAAGTACCTAAACTTCTACGTTCATGGCTCGTGTATTTACGTGTAGTGACTGTAAAGTCACGTACATTGGCAAAAGGTAACGCCACTTAAAAACTAAAGTCTGTGAACATTTAGGAGTATCTAACAGAACCCACCATCCACTACTTAAACCCAGCCACTCATCCATTCGTTCACATTCTGAAACCACAGGTCACAATATCTCATTTAACGATTTCTCTATCATCACCACAGGATCTTCAGACCTTGACCTCTACATAAAATTATTCTCAGCTGTTATGTAATATATATATATATATAAACATTGTTTCATCCGTTCATTTACCGCTTTTCTTAATAGCTAAGTAAACTAATGATTATGTTATTATTTTGTAATTAATCATCTTTGTAACACAATTTTCAGATTTCGCTGAAGATGATAGAAGTTATTCTGAAACGTTCGAACCTTTTAAATAAAATGTTTTATCAACCGTCTTTATCTTTATTATTAAGCCAATGGTAGCTGTAGGGTTTGAATCCTAAGAAGAAATTCTACATTAACAAATGGATATACAAACACTATTTTGCAATGTTCTATGTCTTACTAGCACTTGCTCTGTTTATTTGTTTTTAATTAGGTCCACTCACTTTTCTTTACACGACAGAAATGAAGAATTCTCAAATATAGGCATTATTAGTTATTTTTTGATATAGATATTATAACAAAATATTCTAACAGTAATACAATAGAATGGATTCTTAATCATCATTTCAATACAACAACTAATCCCCGAATGTTAATAATGTTTAAACGACATAGTGATAGAATAATTATCACCAATATACATTTTTCTGTGTTTTTTGCTTACATACCTAACATATAGAAGTTACATATTTCCTCAGCATTTTTTATAGTAGATTTTTGTTCATATTAATTAGGTGAATATTTATTTTATTCTTTTATAGTATTTAGCCTTCACGTGTTTTGTTTCTTTACTAACGGTTTCCTAAACTCGGCATGTCTGTCTCGGGGATCATTAAACTGAATCCTAGTTTAACCCTTTCACCGCATAATTAATTTTCAGGTTGATTCCCAACAAGTGTCAATTATCCACCAAAAAATAAAAGTATGAATTTGACCCTTTGTATTATTTTTTTCGATATTGTAAGAAGCTATATTTTCTATATCTGACAATAATATTCCTTGCAAACTGTATTGGATAGTGAAAAATAATGATTTAAACAAAAAAAATTGAGGAAAATTAGAAGAAAAGTGTTCTCCAGTAAATGACATTAATATAGGCAAAAGTAAGTCAATAAGAGTCCGAAATCCTTACAAAATATAAAAGAAATTATTTAGATAACAATATTCAAGATATAAAGAAAACTGTCTGTATTTAGGTTCTATATGTGTCACTGCAAAGTTGGCAATTTTGTAATAAGGCATGTAATCAGCCAGGTTTCATGGTGTAGGACACAGATGGCAGCACGTTAGCAGGTTTGGCGAATGTTTCAATTACAGGGGGATATTCCTGCATGTCACAGTAGCGGGAAACATTTTTTTACAGTCGCAGGGTAAATCCGAATTTCGCAGTCAATGGGTATAAATGTTTATTCTGATATAACCGAACTACGCAGTAAAAGGGTTAAGATGCTACTTAGAGACAGTGGGTATAAATGTTTATTCTGATATATCCGAACTACGCTGTAAATAGGTTAAAAATGGTACTTCGAGAGGGAAAGAATAATTAAATTGATTTTAGTTCCCCCCTTTTTTTTATTAATCATTATTGGCACATTAAGATTAAAGTATTGTTACATCTCTGGTCGTTTGTTAATTTTCCGTATAATTTTCTTCGGATGAAACTTTAACAATACAAGTCCCTTCTTAAATAAAGCTAGTTTATTCTTTCTCAATACAACTTTGCAATACACTTAATTTCCTTAAACATACGCTATAATTCACAACGGTTCACGCACTTTACTTAGGTCACTACCGCGCTTGACTCAATTGTCCGTCTCTGTCTTTGCCTATCTGCAATTATCTATGCCGTCACTTTATTTGCCGGCTTATAAATACAAAAATAGAGGGCGCATAAAAAAGACTAGAGTTGCCAGGAACAGACATGGTCCTTCTAGAATCTCGTGACGTGTTACTAGCGTCACGTGACTTCCGCTGTCGTAACATTGCCCCTTCCTTAATATTGTTCGTTCCGAAGAATAGCCACTTACATTAAACCAATAGATAATTAACAATAACTTAATTAAATGGACAGAATTTACAAACACAAAAATTAAAATTCAACAAAGTCTCTTAATTTTACGGGACGTATCTTCTTCCTTACTGGTCTCCGTCTTGTTGGCTTCTGCTTCACGTGAGGTTCATCTGCTCCATCAGGAAATGTCCTATTATCGGTAACAGTCACATCAGTGGTAATAACTTCATTAAGGGCTTCACCATTTCCCTTCTCAAAACCGGGTAGAGTTTCTTCTTTGACGATGGCTTTTTCATGTGATACGTCTTCAGCAGTGTCATTTGTTCCGTTGTTCACTTCATCCCAACTGAAATGTCCTGGACCGTGATAATGCCAAAGGCTGTTGGCATGCACCACCTTTGGCTTACCTCGCCGACCACATTTTATCCGGAAAGTCACGTCTGAGAGACGATCCACTATGTCATATGGGCCTTCCCATGGAGAAGAAAACTTAGGAGACTTCCCTTTGGTCTTCCTGGGATTATACAACCACACTTTGTCTCCTGGTATAAAGCTGACTTCAGTAGATCTCTTATCATAACATAGCTTCATCGAATCAGCAGACATTTTCAAGTTTGAACGCACTTGATTATGAATATCATCCATCCTTTCAGATAACACTTTCACGAACTCTGACACATTTTCAGGCAACTCTTCGTAAGTGGGCGTCCTGTTATCAGATTCACTGGCAACCGAAGTTCCCGACCAAAAATCAACTTTGTTGGAGTGTATCCAGTGGCTTCATGCTCTACTATCCTATAGGCCATCAACAGTGGAGGGAGTAAGACATCCTAATCATCTTGACGGCTATTACAAAACTTTGCCAATTCCTGTCCCAGTGTCCAGTTGTACTTTTCTACCACCCCATCGGACTGTGGGTGAAGTGGCGTTGTCCTGGTTTTTCGGATGCCAAACAACTTGCAGCATTCTTGATACACAGCTGATTCGACGTTACACTCTTGGTTATCACAGAGCTTTAAATAATTGTCTCTTTTTCATCAAATTCCACACAGGCTGGTTCAGTTACTTTAGAACACAACTGACGAGACAAATTATGATTCTCTACTCTATTATTACAATACAATCTATGATAATTTCACTTTAAAAATCGCTATTATACGCTATTTATGGCTAACCTCACAATCACACAGTCTAGATCTATCTATCAAATTACATTTTCGACGCGCATTTATACCCCAACAAAGGTCTAGAATGTTCCACACACTATCAATATTCTGATGCAATAATACTTAATTAAAACAATGAGAAAAACTCAGAAGGTTCTAGTTACATGATGCAATAATATAACAATCACCAATTCATAACTATTGAACAACACAATGTATGATTCGTAAACAGTTACGTAAACAAACTTGCGATAAACTATTGCTTCTAAAAATAACTAAACTTTACATTCGCGCTATAATTAAACTGAAACGATCGTGTATATTTAATATACAGCATGTGGGGACTAGAGGAAAAATGGCCAAGACAGAGTAAACTCAAAACGAAATTGTTGTGTGTCCTTTCAGAGACTGCAGGAGGTTCACTACACGTTTGTCGTCATTGACTATTTTCATGGCATGGGCAAAAGCTTATCCATTGATCGATATTCTGGCACATACCGTTGTAGATGTGTTAGCTGAGAACGGGGTAGCATGATTTTGAACACCCAAAGAAATTAATACCAACCAAGGAGCTATATTCAACAGTCATCTGTATGCTGCGTTGTGTAAAGTGTTAGGTTTGGTGAATACTCATACTTCACTTATTACCCCCCCCCCCCCAATTTGATGGTTTGGCAGAACAGGTAATTCAAAATACCAAATAGTTGCTTGTAAAGCTCATTAACCCCGGGACAACTGATGAATGAACATTTGCCATATCTTATGATGACATGTTGAGCAATGAAATAGGGATAAACAGGCTGTTCGCTGATCCTGCTCATGTTTTGCCAAGAAGTGCTACTTCCTATAGACATGATCTATAGTACTCGTGTTATCGGGGCATCGCTTTTATCTGAAATACCACAAGTGCACAATTATTTACTGAAAAAAAATTTTAATCTCTTCCTTTCTAAACGGACAGAATAAAAGTTCTACAATATCTATTTTACAGCTGTCCTTATTTGAGCTTTTCAAAATCGCTAGCTGTGTTACAGTTATACCTTATGCATATGTGTGTGTTCGTGATTTTATTTTTCAAAGACACGTTGCTATTAAAATACAATATTAAAAATCATAGCTTTTTCATTCAACTATTTTATGTTGTTAATTATGCGCTACCTATTGAAAAATTATTATATTAATATGAACCGTGACCATGACGACGGAGAATGGAAGGTTAAGAAAACTGGCATTGTGCTCAGGAATTGCTGCTGGTATCGCCTACTTAGGTTATTCAGTTATTAAATCAGCGCTCTGTGAAATCGGCTTTAGGTCTGAGCAGAGGAAAAGTAAGTGGGACGAAAACAACTGAAGACATGTCACATGATAGGAGATTTGTTGATTTGGGGTTCTCTGTGGCATTCACTGATTCAGAATCTACCCATTATGGCATTAATTTAATTGTTGGATTTAACTTTTAAGGACCGTTACATTAGTTGACAATATTATCATCATTAATAATGAAATATGCATGCAATTTATACTGGGTAGCTGTAAAATTTAGTTAACTTCAGCTGATATTTTGGGGCTCTGTAACAATTAGCTTCTTAAACCAAGAGTTATGATTTAAAAACAAAACATATTTATGTACAAACATCACAAATAATAATAAGAATAAACTACTAATATAATATTCTAAAAATTCGGAAAACAGTTAAAATGGGATAGAAAAACAATATCAAATAAAAACAAGGTGGCATGGTTAGGTGTGTGGGCTACTTCCAGCATCTATACTAATATGATACTTTAAAAGTTATGATTTAAATACCAAAAGCTTGTAAAACATTAGAAGCCTTGGTTACTCATATGATAATTGTGAATCATTAAATTTTACATTATTCCTTGAATTGTTAATACAGTTTGACACCTTTTTTTTAACCATATATATATGTCCCTAAGAGGGTGAGCAGTAAGTTTCCAGACTTACAATACTAAAGTCTTGGGATTGATTCACTGCAATGGATAGAGCACAGATACTTCACTTTATAAGCTTTGCATTAAAGCAACAGCAACAATTTTTTTTTTATAGTTTGTCTTATAATACTGGATTTCTTGCACATACTGTAATGTATAAGCACCAATTTTCCTGCTGAGGTGGTAATCCTGATAAATGACTCAGCATAAAATACTCCATCAACATTTAACTAACAGAAATGGTGGATGAATGTTAACAATAAAAATTACAAAAGAATATGACCTTTAACGACAAAATGTATATTACCCAGTCAGTAATTCAAACATAGCCAGCAAAAAAAAAAAAAAATCAGTAATGTGTTGCTTTTACCATATACATATCAAACTTTTAATTTACAAAATAAAGTTAAGTATTTTGATGCAGTAAAAAGTGTATGTACTATGTCTGCCTGAGCTGTTTGGTTCATACTGATAAGTGGAGCACTTGAGAAATAATTAAACTTGAAGGATGTAATTATTTTAAAGAGCAATCCCTAATTTTGTTTCTGTAATTAATGCTTGCACTGCCAACATTACCAACCTAGAAGTCCTACATTCCAGCCACTTGTTCAATACATTTTTAACAGTTTGAGTTTTCTACATAATCTTGCATAAAATTTCTGTAATAAAAGGTCAACTCCTTTTTTTGGTCACAGAATATGTAAAAAATCTTTTCTTTTTAGACTTAATGTTATTAACTTATACACTTTTGTAGTCTCGTATAGTTTTCAGTGTTTTATTTCTTCTTTACTTTTATTCATTTGAGAATTATTCATATTTCACAATTACTTGGCCTTTATTTTTCAGAAACAACCATTTTGTAGTGTATTTAAAGGTGGATAATTTATGGTAAAAGTTATGTATTTTCTATATATCTATTTCAATTTGAGATATAGAGAAACTTTTATTCTGGAACAAATAATTAGCCTAAAACACAATATCAGCTAATTAAGTTGACTGGTGAATGTAAATACTAAACATTTAAAACATTTTTTTCTTCCTCTGCACATGGCTAGTAGAATTAAATTTTGTATGAGGTACCATATTGTAATTTTTTGAATATGTTTTATAAAGTTCATTAGTATATCTTGAAAGTGATTTTTTAAACCTACAAAGTACTCTATAGGTGTAAAAATGTGTATGAAAGGTTCTGTACAAATCTAATGTTCATTGCAAAAGTATTGTCCCAATTAAACCAGATCCAACTCATGAGCCTGTCCTGAAGAGTGAGGGTTGTCAGACAGATCTCATTATTCCAGTGACATCACAACCAGGTCCACTGCCCAGAACTTCAGTACGAGACAGGATCAGAGAGCTGAACCTCAAAGCTCGAGAATTTAAGGAAGCTGGCCTTAAATATTCTACAAAGGACAAATCAAAGAGTCTGCAAAATAGTCCATGGAATTCTCCAAAAATTCAAAAGCCTGTAGATGGCAGTTCTCCTCATCACCAGCAGAATAGTATACCAAAAACTTTATTTCAAAGAGACCTGTCTACAGATGTACTCAACGACAGTGAGGAGACTTTACTGATTGAGCAAGTTGACACTCACCTTCCACCACTGAGAGAGCCAGAAGAAGTGCTTCATACACAGTTAGAAAGTCTCTACAGTAAATCCAGAATCATAACTTTTAATGAAGCAAAAGGTTTAGTAACTTTATTAAGTTCAGATGATGATGAAGTGCTGGTAAAAGTGCTCACAGTAATATCCAATTGTTCAGCTTACCCTACAAATCAGGTAGGACTACAATGCTTTCAGATGAACTTTTTGGCTTATCTCATTGTTTAAAATTGGTACTATTGTTGACACCACTTTTACATGTTACTACACTTGGTGCAAAGAACTGATCAAACAGATCCCTCAATTTCTGTATCAGTTAGTAGGGTTAATTGCAATATTGATGATACCGTAATTTTAAGGTTAGTGTTATGTTTCATATTTTGAATATCCTAGTGATATTAATATTTATAACAGTATAAGAATAGCCAGTACAGGCCTTTAAAATGGAAACAGAAAACAATTTGTGTTGTTGTGTAGTAGCATGTTTTGCTTGTAATGCATAATTTGTGTTGCAATAGGACTTTTAAGATATTTAGTATTCTATAACATAAGCATTTGTTGATTATTTTGTGTACTTTTCAAATAAGAATGAAACTTGTCTTGTTTGAGGATATTATAAATATTTTTAGAAGTAATTGTTGGGCTGTTTTCAAGTGCTATACATAATTAAGAAACAAAGAAAGGAATAAAGAATCCATTGAGTTTGTGAAGCTTTCAAAGAGATTTAGTAGCAAATGAATTTTAATGCAGATTTTGTTTCATTATTAGGTGTAGTGATTTGAGCTGTTGTTTTTATTAACATAAGTTCAATTCAATGGTATGACTCCAGAAAACTGTGAGTAAAGAATAGACTTATCCACTGTTGTAATTATTTAGAAATAACCCATTTTAATTCCCGGTAGAGCTGGAATTTAAGTAAGTTGGTTAGTTTAGTTTTTAAATGAAATACAGTAGAAAATTTAGCACTTATGAGAGTAGTATAATATTTTTTAAACCTCATTTATTTGTTAAATTTTGATGAGAAAAATGTATATATTTAACTGGTAGCAATAGTGTTGGAAATTAATACCATCCTAGTTTGATATGTGTGTGTATTAAATTTAATCTACCATGTTTTTCATTATGTTTTAGGATCATCTTGCAGATGCTGGTTGCCCTCTAATACTCAGAGATTTAATCATTTCTGCAGCACCGTCAGTCCAAGTATCTGTTGTGCAAGCAATAGCTAGCTTAGCCAATAGTTCAAAAAACCAGGTCACTCTTCAGGTATTTTTCCAGTTTTATTTGTGTCATTAGATTATAATATCACACAGTTTATGCACGTCTCTGGTTAAAATCTTATCACATGCATTAATTAACCTAGAACAGGTGCAGGCTGTAGCATCATATAACTAGTTAACATAGTTTCAACAAGAGCTTGCACATGAATTTTATGAACTGTATTTAAGACAAAACTCTCCTCACTGACAAAAATTAATCTAAAACACCAGTGTACCTTAGACACATATACAAATTATACACACACACACACACTGGTATATACTATACCAGTTTACCATTGGTTTGATTTGTATAAATTGTATTTTTTGTTGATTAGTGTAGTTAGTTTTAAATAAATAACTTGGAAAATATTTCTTTTAAATGTTGTGTATGGAAAAAGAATCACAATAACGAAACATTCCTTCATTTTTGTTCTTTTGCACAGAGGTTAATATTTTTTTTCTTGATCTTTACAAATTAACATTTGTCATTCATTATATATTCTTTCATACAACAATCCTGGTGCAAAAAGCTATATTCTATGTTTGAAATAAATTTCTAACTCGTATTAAGAAAAGTCCAAACACTTTCGAATTCTGAGATATTTCCATCTTTCTTTCCTTCTTTTAGGATTCTAGTCTGGGATATTGCAGTATTGCAATAGCAAAACACATAAACATGCATAATTTTTTAGAAATTATGTATTTAAATATATATATATTCAATTAAGAGAAGGAAAACTGAATATTTAGAAATTATCAAATAACTACATTTGCTTCATCAACTTTTCAGGCTTCATTTTCAATAGTAATAATATTTTTTAAAAGGCTATATATATATATATATATATATATCAGGTCTGAATATTTCTAACCATTGCTATTGGGGAGTTTAAATTTTTTGATGAAAATAACACATTGTTGAAAGTATTGGATTGAATTTTGGAATTATGTCTTACTAGATTCTTTCTTCTTTACACGAGTTGATAAATATATATTGTGAGTTAGATTATTCACAAGAAAATTTAAAACATTTTAATTATAGCGTTTATTTTGTCCATCAGGTGTGTATCCCAGTTTTGTTGAGAAATGCTACTGATCCAGAAGCCAGTGCTTATTTACGAGCCCTGAGCTTAACAGCTCTTGCCAACTTGGCACTTGAGAAAGTAACTGTAGCTCCATATATAGGTAAACTTCATTCTTTATTAAAATTGTTCGAAGAAGGAAACACTATCAAAATCCAGACTCTGAAACTTTTAAACAATCTTTCTCTAAGTCCTGCCATGGTTCCCTACTTACTAGCTACTAAGGTGAGTTGTTTTTTTATTTTTCCTACTCCTTAACTGAAATTTTTGAATGTCTATTCTTTATAGAAGAGGTTTGTTTAGACTTTCAAATTTAAATCATTGAAATCATTTATCTAAAAAAAATGTGTATTAGAATAAAATATATATGCCCTCATAACTAATTTATTAACTTACCTCCCAGGGATGGAATACTAAAGATCAAGATTCAATACTCATAGTGAGCACATCATAGATAGGCTATTGTGTCGTTTGCACTTGTAAAACACAAACAACTAAGTTTATGTAGTTTGTCATATTGGGTGTATAGAAGCCTAACTGTCCAAAAATTAAAACCTTTGTTTCAACTTTTAATTACTTGAATGAAATAGAGTAGAATGAACTGAGTCTTATAAATGGAAAAATCTAAACATTGGAACTTCTCATTTTAGAATTCCTCTAGGTTAGTTTGTCATGTCTATGAAGAATGAAAAGCATAAGATTTTATATTCCCAATTTTATTGTGAATTATAAATTCTTCCCTTTCTCACTTCTACATCAAAGTTTTGCAAGGGCTTAGAATAGAAAATCTTAGATATTTTCCTGTTTGATCATGTTTAACATAGAATGGCTTTCTTTGTTATAATACTTTTATTTAGTGCCCTCCAATAAATGATATGCTGGATAACAAGAGTGACAGAGATATTACCCTCCAGCTCTTAACATTCCTGGGCAATGTGACAACTGTAGCAGTTGAGCAAAAACTGGGCATACAAGATTTACCTGCCGATGATAGAGCACCATCTCCCGAGACACTTTATTCTACTGTCTTTGGCCTTCTGGAAAAAGATGTTATCTCAAAGAAGATGTTGACACTGTCAGCCAGCAGTGATGAAGAGATAAGTGTCAGTGCTCGGAAAGTTTATGATGTTTTGAGCCAGCTACATCAGTAGAGTCTATAATAAATTTAGATGTAACTGTTTCTAGTTAACCTTTGATGTTATAACAATTAAACAGGTAGAGTTTTCTGATGCACGAGACAAGTTCTAATTTTGAATACTCAATCACGTAAAATCATGCTTTTACTTGTTGGATTAGGCATAATTTAAAGTAAATTTTCTCCACTTAGTGGTTTTTAAATCTATAGTTAATCTATGACTTAGAAAATCACATGATATTGATTGAGAACTGTCTCATAGCTAATGGTTGCTTTATTTCCAATTTTTAAAACCATGAAAATGTATATCTGTAATATTTTGTTGTTGTTATTGTTTCAGTAGTGAAATAAGTCAGCTCGTTAGTATCCAAGAATTTCACTACTATAAACAGTAAATATTGGTAAGGTTTTTGGTACATTGGCTACCAGTTATAGATTTTATGTGATCACTTTAAAACTTATATATAAGCTAAGTTTTTATAGAGAGGCTTCCTGAACTGTAAGAATAATTATGCTGACTCTCAATTCCAGAGGTAGAAAATCTTTGAAAATATCTCTTATTAGTCTTTATTTCTCAACTTTTGATGTTCTGTAATATAGATTTCTTCGTTTGTATGCGAGTGCTATTTAAGAGAAAGAACCTTGACATTTTTAGGTAAGACTATGTTAATCATTGTTTCTCTTCAGGCCAAACAATGCTAATACTTAGCTTCAGTAATATCTAAATTTCAGTTTTATTTCTTGTACAAATATTTCTAGAAACAACTTTAATCATTGGGTTCAAGGTTAGATCTTGTTTACATTTCATTGGCTTACACTCCACTTGGACAAACTAGGATTTTCTTATTTTGTAAGACAGTAAAGATTGACAAAAACTTTATGGTATTATTGCTGTTCAACCATATTATTTACTAGATGTACTCTCGCAGGGTCCCGAAAGTGTTCTGTTTCAGGAGTAAGTGAAACCAAAATTAAAAGTAACAAATATTTGTATTCCTTGCTTTTCAAGTTCATATGTAATGCTTTGTTGTAGTCTACAGTATGCACAATTATTTTCATGATTCATGACATGCACATGTTTTACTGATGTCACAACAGTACAAATTGCAATGTTAAGCATCTCTTATGTGATGTCATTTTAGTGTCTACTGACTGACTGACTGACAGACAACACATTACTGTATAATGGTGAGATTGGTTAAAACAGGTGACCACTTCAGATGATCTGCAGCCTTTTTTTGAGGAAATTAGGAAGAGTTAAAATGATAGTGCAATATTATGAGTTCAAAGGATATTACAGTATTATGGGTTATAAGGATAGTGCAGTCTTATGGGTTATAAGGATAGTGCAGTCTTATGGGTTATAAGGATAGTGCTAATCTTGCTTGCTAGTCTGTTGAAGGAGCCTTACAGATCAGTAAACCGTATAAAAACTATACATTTATTTAGTTCTAGGGTGTATTTATATTTTATCTTCAGCTAACTGTTGTTCTTGCAGTGTCACAAAATGTTCCACAACTGAACGAATTAGTAACATAGAAATTGACCAGATTTAGATTATGTACTCAATAATGACTGACACAAATGTTTTATTTATAAACAAACAACTAAACTACTGGACAGTGCACTGAATTTTTGATTAAAAGATATATTTCTGCACATCTGGATATCATAAATGGCGACTCAATCAGCCTTACTAGTGATCTCACACAATGTCTGCAAAGAAATAAGCATGTCACAAAAACTTGTTTCATCATAAAAAGCAAGGAACTGATGGGTTGTCAAAAAGATATGAAACAAGATAAGGTATTCTTGACTTTACAGATTTGTGAAAAACCTACTTGCCCCCATGCACATAAAAAGTAGCTAGATAGAGTACATACATATAAGTTTGAATTTTCCAGTGATAATAATATCACATCCCATTGCTGCATGGTTAACTAATTAGTCTAATTACAAGAAATAATTTGTAACTCAGCAGTCCTTCAGAGTTAAGTTAATGCTAAATGAATGTTACCGAATTATGAAAAGTAGACTAAAAGCAGGTAACTTAAACTCAATTGAAATTTTAAAAAATACAGTTGAAAACAGCAATTAAGTTCTTTTACAACTCACATATTTTCCTACTTACAACAAATATTTAAATCAATTAAAAAAACATTTAAAAATTTATGGGGTAGAACACCTTAGCTGGCATGCATGTCATTTAGTAGTAATATTACTGTTTAAAAACTTAGTTTTAACTGTCTTTACACGTGTTTGTGAGGAAGAATTTGATAAAGAATCCTGTATTTTTGAGCATATGTTCTGCTCCAGTAGTTCTTTAAAATAGTAATTCTATCCTGATAATTGTTATAAAACATAATCCAGTTCACACTATAACAGATGTTAATTTAAAGATAGTAATTCTATCCTGATAATTGTTATAAAACATAATACAGTTCACACCATAACAGATGTTAATTTAAATATAGTAATTCTATCCTGATAATTGTTATAAAACATAATCCAGTTCACACCATAACAGATGTTAATTACAATTTATGATATAAATAGCACCTATGTTTGTCATATTCCAGCAGGCCAGATGAGCCCTGTTACTGGTTAGATGGCCTTTTAAGCTCTGGATATGGCAGACATAGTGTGGTTATCATATTATAACATATTCATCTTTGATTTTACTTGTAAGATATACAACTATGTATCAATGAAGAACATGGTCCCTAAGTTTTTAAAGAAGCTAGGTTAGTAAACTACTAGTAAACACACACTAGAGAATAAATATGTAAAATTATTACTTTAAGGATGTACAGAGAAATTAATTTATGTGAATGTATTTCATGTTTATGTTTTTACTATTTAGTTCTGTTCACTGAAAATTTAATGTATCTTTTTTTTTGTTATTCTTATGTAGTATGCATCAACATATCATTGACTTCTATTCAAAATAGCTTATTTCAACGTTATTAAAAAGGCAATGCCCATATTTAATTTCAGAAATAATCTCAGAAAAATTAGGAAGGTTTCAACCTTCTAAGAGTACTCAGTATAAAAGGTGTTTCTGAATAGTGATTTTTCAATATAATTTCAGGTAATAACAATTAAAATCAAGAAATGCTGTGATGAGCCAACTGATAGTTCTTGAAGTATAGTAAGTCTTACCTTCAGTCATTACAGGTGTTAATTTCAATTGTTGATTATCATAAAAGAATAATGGTTATGTAAGCCGTTAACACAATCGTTGTAAACATTCTAATCATCTTACTAAATATGTTATGAAGAAGAAAAATGAAATGATAATTAAAAATATTAATAAAAATCAACTTTATAATGTTTTTTGATAACTTTAAGGCGCCTTCACTACCATCTGTATAGCCCTGTAAGAAGTGTTCTTTCGTTTTAAGGTAACTGTGTTGATAGAAGCTAACATCTTTATAGCTTACAAAATATTGTAACTGTCTGTGTATTATCTGTTGTGCTTTCAAAAGTAATATCTAAATACAATGATAGCAAATATAGAGTGTTATTTGTTTTAAAACATATCTAATCATATTGACAGTAAACGTTGTTTTAAAAAGCTTTTGGATAGACTTGAAATCAAGAAAATGGCAGAAGACCATAGTACATTCAGTCCCCATTTTGAAGACATTGCTTAAATCCACTTTAAAATAATAACATTTGGATAATAATTTGTTTCAAGGAAAATATAATGAAAGCCTGAGTCATAAAATTAAGTTACCGAAGAAATTTATTATTGACCCCATGAGAATTTAGGACCCATTGCAGCTAATTTTTCATGATACCCAAGATAATTATCCCATACTTCTGAAATAAATTTACTTTTATAATTAGTAAGTAAGATAAAATTATTATCTTGTATCAATGATCATTATAATTTAATATATATATCTTGGTTCAATGAGTGGTAGTTCGTAAGAGCTCTATGCAAAATTAAAAAAGAAAATAATTTTCTTATAAGCCTAGAAAGGAAAAAAAACTTCATAAAGTGTAAATATGTATATTTAAAAGTACAGAAATTTACTAGAATGTAATTAGTTGTTACTGTATGTACATTTATAGTTTTAAATATGAGGCTCCTAACTGATAGCTCAAGTATGCCAAATAACTTGGGTATTGATATTTTCTTCTCATTTTTTTACATTTTTCAGGTACTTGTGTATTATTTTCAGTGGTTTTAATTCTTTTGTCATCCTTGATATTAATTTCTTGAACTTTGGGTTCGCTACTTTAACTTTATTCTAGGTATTGTTATTTCAATATAAAAATTACCTATCGTTTACTTCTTTTTGTTTTTTTATGTTTGTGACCAGTGATTTTCATTAATTTCCCAGTAATAGTCAAAACTGTCTTCTGCTGATGATCTTCCAGTTCTTGGCCACCTTTTATCAGACTTCTTGTCTCCTCCTTAGCTTGAGAACTTGTGACCAAGTTCAAGTATACACAGTTGTATATGGGTGGTTTGGTTAACATGACAGTCTTAATTTGATTAAAAAACTCATTCCTATAACATCATAGCACTGCAATACATACCACTGATTAAATTCTCTTCAATAAGTATATTATCTCTTCTTGTGCTTGTACTTTGTCCTAATTCGTTTATCACCATCTCTACTGGATGGCCATGACACTGATTCAATCTCTCCTAAGCAGGTTGAGTTTTTAGTGAGACAGGATTTTAGGGATACAGTTTCTCAGAGGCTGGCTTTTTCATCAGAATTTCATCTTTTTCTTTTTTGTGTGGGATTGTTTCTGTCACGAAACATTATGAATAGATCTTTTTCAACTTGTTATGGTTTGAATTTAGTTTTCACGTTATCTTGTCTCTTGTATGTTAACCCTGTTTTATGTGTAGTGCAATGTATCTCCTAATATTAACCCCTTATCATTCATGGAAGAGTTTTTCCATTGCCGTAACAACACTTTGACCATAACAAACCAGACACGAGGCACTAAAATGGTGCACGAGACATTTGGTGTGTATATATACAGGTGGAGATGTTGTGTAAATATATGGTGAAGATCATAAAGGATTAGTGAATGTTAAGCAAGAAATGTTATAGTGGTAGTCGTTAATTGTTAGCAGTGATTAAACATTAAGTTTGTATCCCTACTTAATGGATCAGTGGACTGGGTTGTTTTTTATTAAGACTTTTTTTACTCAAGATAGTTTTTCCCGATGCAGGTATCCGACTTATTCCCTTAAAATTAAATATCTACGTGAATTGAAATTACCATGCTTTTTTTTTACTTGATGGTCTACTCTAGCCGTTTCACATCTTGTACTTAGTAAAAGGTTATATATTTTGTTTATAATTACAAGCTTGTCCTGTCAATAGCTGTTTGCTTTCTTCTCTGCCATTCTTAAATTTCAGCCAGGAACTAAGATGTTTTTATTTAGAATATTCACCACTCTTTCAGTCCATATCTGGAGTAATACATCTCATTAGTATTTATTTCAAGTCACATCTCATCAGACCATATCCCTAACTGCTGCTACTCATTATTCTTTGAAAGAAATTGAATGGTCCGTCATACACACTACTTTCATTACCATCATAAATGATTTATTTGTATTTTGTTACAGTAGCATGTATTTCTATGTGTTTCATTGCTTCTCATTTTCTTTAATTTTATCCTGCAGTGATTTTGGAACTTTTAAATTGAAGGTGAATGTTTTGTTCTCCCACCTGATGTTGGTTTTAAGGCACTAGTAGTCAGTGGCATAGCCAGCACTACAAAATGGAGGGGATCTTTTTCTAAACAAAAAGTGGACATTTTCTTCTACATAAATAATTTAAGTGACTTATGTAAAGGTCAAGTGTTAAGTTATTTTAACTCGGAAGACAGTAGAATTTTTAGAATATTGGATTATAAAAGTGACAGTCAATTGCAATATTTGGTTTAAAAAATCCATGCAACAACAAGGGCTTTCGATTGGTTACCTTTCCTCTTGTTAGAAGTTAAAAATTAGTGACAGTTGTACTTTAATCTGGCCATTTGGTTCACATAGGTGCATAAGGTGTCATTCAAGCCTGACAGTTTCTACTTTAGTTGTAAAGGTTTAAACATTTTAAAATAAATACTGCATGAACAAAGAATGGTCTCATAGTGTCAGCTTTCTTTAGAAAAGTTTGTGGTATGTTGTGCAGTGTAATTTATTTGATATAACTCATTTACATTAGATAAATATTTTAGCTTTATTTTACTTTAATGTATGCTAAAAAATCCATTCAAAGTGATATATATTTGGTTCCATCACAACCTCATTTGTAACTATCCATTTTAAGTTTTGCTAGAGTGGTATCGTTAGTCCCATCACAGCTTCACTTAACTATTCATTTTAAATTTTGCTAGAGTGGTATCGTTAGTCCCATCACAGCTTCACTTAACTATTCATTTTATGTTTTGCTTGAGTGATATCTTTTGTCCCATGACAACCTAATTTGTAACTATTCATTTTAAATTTTGCTAGAGTGGTATCATTAGTCCCATCACACCTTCATTTTAAATTTTGCTAAGGTGATATCTTTAGTCCCATCACAACCTCATTTGTAACTATCCATTTTAAGTTTTGCTAGGGTGATATTTTAACAACTCCCACAAGTTAATATTGTAAATGTTTTTTTAATTCAATAAAGACACGGTTATCATTTATTGCTGAAATGGGATTCATTGGGAGAGGATACTCGTTATGCACATATAAAATGATATAAAGCAAAGCATTATTTGTTCGATTGTCATTATCAACTGCACACACAAAAAAAACTTAATACATATATTCTATCTCAATAGTTAAGTGTTTAATGATATTGATGTTCAAGAAGTATTCAAAACACAGGATGTATTTGTAGGTTAATCGTAAATGTTCCTCATGTTAATATTTGTTTCAATAAGTAATAATTTGGTTTGCAGGATGTACATTAACGTACAAAATTAAAAGGTATTAATGAAGTTTCTTGTAAAAGAGAATATGTAATTAAAGATGTATGAATTTTGGAAGTATCCGATTGTTATTGTATCTTTATGCATTTATTTCTCTTAATTAATAGCACAATTTTATGGTAGGTAAGTGCAGATTTTGTGCAATAATATTTTCCCCCATGAATTCAAGTTTAAATAATTTTAATGAAGGAGGTGCAAAAAATATTTTTCATGATTTGTGTGTAAATACAGTATTTTCAGTGTGTTTTAGACTATGCATGTAATGGTACAGACATTACGATTGTCTTTTATTAATTTAAAGAAAAATGGACATTATGTAAAACACATTTCTGAGTAGTGTGAAATATTCACACATTGTGTCAAACTTTTGGTTAGTGGTTTTTGTTTATGTACAGGCACTTATTTCAGATACTAAAACTGCCATATTAAATGAGCAGCTTATTACACCTAGTACTGTTGCATATGTGCCTTTAAAGTATAAACATATTAGGCTTATTACATAGAATCTATGAGCATGTTTACCTAGTTCTGTTTGATGTACAATCGGAATTAACCAAAGCTTAAACATGTTTACCTTGTTCTGTTTGATGTACAATCGGAATTAACCGATGCTTAAACATGTTTACCTAGTTCTGTTTGATGTACAATCGGAATTAACCAAAGCTTAAACATGTTTACCTTGTTCTGTTTGATGTACAATCGGAATTAACCGATGCTTAAACATGTTTACCTAGTTCTGTTTGATGTACAATCAGAATTAACCAAAGCTTAAACATGTTTACTTCATTCCATCTATATAGTTGCCGTGGCAACTATGATAATAAACGAGATATACGGGATTGTAAAATGTATAATTATAAAAGTATGAAATGATATTGAGATGTATGAGTCAGTCAATAAAGACAGAGTTACTGATAAACAAGTTTTAATACTTTACCTTGTGGCCTTCATTAAATACACTCTTAACTAAACTAACATTTATTCTCCAATATAATGCTAATCAGTATTGAATTCCCACTAGATTACATTTATGTAGTACTCATTTAAGAAAATTGACTTTAAAGCATATTAGATTTGTCCCTGGCAATGACAGACGTACTACCTTCGAAGAAGTTTAAGTCAATAATGAGCAAATCATAAAAAGAAAGTCTCCATGTATTCTTATCCCAATATTCATTCCAGTTTTCCAACGAATTATCTGACAAATCACTGTATTTACTTTCACATGGACAAAAGTGGCCATGATTTTAGTAAAGAAAAGTACAGAGCACTGGGAAGGAATGATGAGTTTTGTTTCATACATGGTTTTGTCAGAATGGATAATACTAGAGTTGTCTAGTCCTGTAGTGGACAACTTGTTGAATGCCTTAGCATAGAAACCTCAACCCTTCAGTCATTAAAGACTCAGTGGTTTATACTAAAAAAAGAAACGACTGGACAGGTTCTAACTTTCCCTCGAACGAAAAATAAACTTGAAAATCCCTTATTCTTTCAAGCCTTTTACATGAAATATGATATTTTGTACATCATTGAATCCATGATGTTGGAAATAGCCCAAATAAGGGGCAAGGGTGTTTTTAACTTTTAACCACTTGCTCCCTATTATAGTATAAATAAAATTTTAGACCACAACTCTGATATCAAGAGTTATTATGACTAAAATATTAGCACAATTTTTAATATACAGGTAACTTACAATTAAAACTATTATGATCAATGAGCATACCTGTATTTGAGGTCAAACAATGGGAGTTGACTGTTTTGGTCACTTGCTCAACATCAGTAACATCTGATTTTGTTTCACATTGTTGCTATGTAATTTGAACATTGTTTTCTACAGTGCGTCTTCAAATGTGCATCAAAACCTGTTAATTTACAGCATACTGCCTTCTTTTCTGAAGAAAAAATTACAACAGCATAATTTGTCCTGGAACTTTAGTCCAAGAAGAAATAAGTGACAAAGATTCAAAAACTGCTCTATGACTATCCTTCAACTCAGATATTATACTTGTGTCAGTTCAAAGACTGCTCTATGACTATCCTTCAACTCAGATATGATACTTGTATCAGTTCAAAAACTGCTCTATGATTATCCTTCACCTCAGATATGATACTTGTATCAGTTCAAAAACTGCTCTATGACTATCCTTCACCTCAGATATGATACTTGTATCAGTTCAAAAACTGCTCTATGACTAACCTTCAACTCAGATATGATACTTGTATCAATTCAAAGACTGCTCTATGACTATCCTTCACCTCAGATATGATACTTGTATCAATTCAAAGACTGCTCTATGACTATCCTTCACCTCAGATATGATACTTGTATCAATTCAAAGACTTGACTATCCTTCACCTCAGATATGATACTTGTATCAATTTTCCACAGACAACCACAATTAATTAGCAGTTCAAGTTCCATAAATCTTCATCATCCATGTCATCATAATTAACATGTCTTAAAAAAACAACTAAATGATTGTTAGCAGGTACTCTTAGAGATGTGTAAAATATAATTTAGATTTTACCCATAAGGAGTGCACATGCTGTCCCTAAATAAAAAAGGGTTTAGATCAGATCACAGTTACTATGTATGTAAAAACAAGATGTCACTTGTACAAAAAATAATTACTTGTAGATTTAAACGTAGGGGGGCAAGGCAACATTGGGTCATCACAGTAAAAAATAGGACTTGAAATGCTTTTGTTTGTTTTTTGTCTTTAACTTACTATTTGTTCCTTGCACATTTGACCCGTTTATACTATTTTTTGCAAATAATGAGCAACACTTAATACATAACGAAAAATATTTTATTGTATGTATGATTATAAGACAGTAACCTTAAATAATGGTTTACATACAACTAAACAGATTAGGAACAACTTTTCGAATAGGTACAATGACACAGTAAATCTTGTTTGTTTTTGAATTTCGAGCGAAGCTACACAAGGGCTATCTGCACTAGCCGTCCCTAATTTAGCAGTGTAAGACTAGAGGGAAGGCAGCTAGTCATCACCACCCTCCACCACCTCTTGGGCTACTCTTTTACCAACAAATAGTGGGATTGACCATCACTTTATAATGCCCCCACAGCTGAAAGGGCGAGCATGTTTGGTGGGATGGGGATTCGAACCCGTGACCCACAAATTGCGAGTTGAGCGCCCTAACCACCTGGCCATGCCTGGGTCTACACAGTAAATCTTCCAGTAATGATAGTTTGTTTCTTGTTGGATACTGTATTACTCATCATTGTAGCCTAACAATTAAATGTAGAAATTGCATTTTTCATTATTTTTCTTATAATCTAACCATTGGAAAATGTTGGAGTTTTTGTTCTGGGCTGTGTGGCACACCACTTCATGTACATTGATTAAGTATTAAAATATACAGTTTTACGTGTATAATGCGTTTTAGTGGGAATAATTATAATGTTCGATATTAAAGTCATGCATTGCTCCCAGGTTTCTTTCCTTCTGGTAAAATTTTACTTTTTTGACATCCATTTTATTATGTAATACATCAAGACTATTTTATAAATTAATCTTTTAGACTCATTATGAAATATTTGTAACTTGAAATTAAAAATGATTTTTTCAAAAGAAAAACATTTTACAGACCGTAAAATTTAACATGCAAGAAAAAAAAATCAACTTTGGTGGTCAAGTAGTTTTTTTAATTGAAAAAAAAAATGTAGTCTAAACGTAAAAAAGTTGTCTTCATTTTTAAAAGATTTGAAAATCCTATCAATGACATACAATGCTAAATATAAATCAAAAACTTTTAAAGGAACAATCCGTTTTATTTTCTCACACAATTTTATGTTATGAAATACATTACACAAAAAACTTTCCTTAAATTAAAATATACTATAATATTTTCAACTGAAACTGCAAGGATATTTGATATTTAAATCTTTATTGAGCTGCATAGTTGATAAACATTGGCTAAAACTAATAGTGAATAGGTAATTATCATGTAATATGCTGTTCATAGCAAGGAATTCGAAGCAATTCTTTCAGATGTTTTGTTTTCTGAAGCAACTGTTATATTAATGATAAAAAGAAATGGTATCCACATTTTGGTGCGATTGGAGCTAATGAAGACACATGGTTCACTTTTTAAGTGTCGGAGAAACAAGTTCTTCAAACAGTATTTACAGTGATTGAATAGGTGGGAAACTTTGGGCTATTTACTATTGGAAGATTTAACAAATTTTCATGATAGATTTGATCTCTTGTCAAGACTGGTGGCTTCACATCAATTTCCACGTAAAATTTTACATTCTATGGTTGAGAAATATATTTTCTTTTGCCCAAAACAAATTTTACTTCATTATGATTTAAGTCAATTACCCATTTGTTACAATCAGTTATCCTCAGAAGGCCCAAAGGTATTACTAGGTTATTTGATGGTTAATGTATATCCATGTTATAATCTTCCTCGTTACTTAGTGACTGTCCGTTTTGGGAGGTTACTAATGTCCCCTCTTTCCTGGAAGGGTTCGTCTCAGTTCCTGGTTTTTTGAGATAAAATAGGACATATGCTGCCTTGGACTGAAAGGAAAAAAAAAACTATAAATAGCTTATAAATGTTTACTCTTAAAATCTAACAACCATCTTTACAAACCTAAAAAATAACCTTCAATTCTATAAACTGTATTCATAAAATTGTTCATTTCTGAACTTTACATGTAAATTTATATTCTAGTGAAATAACTTTCAGATTTCTGCATCCATCACATATAGTATATCAAAAAATTGAAATACTAAATACACATTAGATTAAACACAAACCCAAGAGACAGTTATGTATAAAACCATAATAATAATTAATAGTTAGTGTTTCATCATAAAGAATTAATACCATACAATTAATCATTGATCTTCAGGGATAAATTAAACCTCACAACTATAAAACTTATGGCAACCTGCAGTTTGAACATACAATACTTTCTTTAAATAAAAAAGAAAGTTATTATACAGTAATAAAAGCAACTTACAAACTTTCGCTGGCTATTCTAAACTCTTAGTGTACTAAACTCATGTTTGGTTGGTTGTCAAGATGTTAGCACTACAAGAGTAACTTAGAACATCTGTGGTACTTCAAGGATAAGCCAAGCACGCTGGTACCCGATTTTTGCAACAATAAGAGATATAATGTTGAAGGACAGGTTAAGTGATAAGTGAAACGTGGAAAGGGATGAGACATGATGTGAAACTGAACAATAAAAAACTGTTACTTAATGAAGACAAACACATGAATAGTTGATTATTTTCATGTTAAGACTATTATACTCTGACAGGTTAAGTTAGAATAAAATGAGAAGTAAATAAATTAAATGAGTTTTACTAGTAGTCAACTGAGACAGACTGACTGCTCGACTGAATAAAGAAAAGACTTAAGACAAAAACTTCTACAGTACATCTTGGCTTCTTTTAATCTCAGAAACGAATCTGGTTAAAAATGCTTTCACATTCTATAACTGAACATTCAGGAAGTTTAATCATAAATGTCTGCAAGTATTTCAGTCATAGAGAAGGTATTGTTGGAGAATACATCTAACCCATGAAACAGTATACAACTTCCATACAACTGCAACAGAAAGTAACATCTAATTTTGAATTGGTATAACAGGATTTCGAATGTTCCAAATTAGAACTAGAAAAGTCAAATTTTGTGAGTGATTTTAATTATATCCTATAGAAGAATGAGATATGTGGTACTTGGATATCAATGTTCAGTAGTATTCTAATACATTAATGTTATAAATTTGTTTGGTAGATTGTGTTCAACACAAACAGTGACATAATTCATAGGTAGGTCAAAACTTGCAGGCACTTTAGTAAGTGTTCTGAATACATACCACAACATTCTCCTCCGAGGCAGAAGAAACACTGCTGTCATCAAAATAATACCATTGTTGTGTTTCTTTGTTCTTTGCATAAGCCGTGTCTGGAACAACATATAAGGTAGTAAACTAATATCATCATGCTATGTACCAGACAGAAAAAAAAAAAAGAGACCAAATAATAATATACCAATAACATTTTGAAAATGTTAAAATGATTTGGTTCATGTGCAAAAAAAACATTCTTTAATCTGTAACAATAACAAGATGAATAATTGTCTTTTTTACTAGCTGATAATATGTTGACATATAATGATAGAAGATAATAAATCTGATGACAATGATAAAAACTTGTAAAAGTTTAGTAATTAATAAAAGTTCAGTTTCTGGATACTGAATATAATCTGACACTAACCTAAGTAAGAATCAGATCTTATCAAAGCTTTTCTCTAGAGTATCCAAAGTTACTTCCCTTTCTCCCTGGTTAATCATAATGTTAATGACAAATATAAATCGTTAAAATACTGTAAGATATGTTGATTCACAAGATACAGAGGTCATCAGCTTATGACTGGTCAAAACATAGTTTAAAAGGTAATTACTTACAGTGACCACCTCCCATCCCTCCAAAATGATTGGCAACAGCTATAAGGTCATAAGTTGCTGGGCCATGATGAGGATCAATTGCATAGTTTGTCATGTCCAGTCCTCTGGAAGCCAAGAAGTAGCATAGTAAACTATTCAATATTAACTAGAAAACACTTTTCTACCCAAAGGCCAAGACTGCCTTGCTACAGTCAGTGACAACGAAACAAAATAGTGACTATAACTTACAAGAGAGTGAGAATTTTTTCTTTACAAATGCAGAAAGAGAAGTTTAAGATCGTGTTCTCCATACATTTTCTATATCAATATTTGCTTACCTTACTGGGAAGTCTACTAAAGTATCAATCTTGTCTCTCCAGTAGCGATTATAAGAAAACCTTTTCAGGTGAATGATAAGCACCTGGGGTAATGACCATAAATCAAACTTTTTGGTAGCCTGCTGGTGTTTCTTACATTCTGGACAGTACCAAGGGTCTTTAGCTCCAAGCTTCTCCGTAGTCATGAAGAGTTTTAAACAGTCACTCAGCTGTATTACCTGACGTTTCTGTGAGAATTTTGTATTAACTGACTCATGGATAACGTATTCCTGGAAGTGTATCGAAAAGCATGATACATATTAAAATACTGATCAAATATTCAATGGTGGTTCTTATCATTCTTTGTCCTTTCACACAGTTTTAAGTTGTAACTATCATTCATAATTCTAAGTACACAGAACAGTGATGCCAATCTTCATCATTCTTCAATCTTTTTTTTTATATATATAACAACTCATGTTAATAGTTAGGGTTTTCTCTTGTATTGGATATATTAAACAAAAAAAGACACTTACATTGGCCTCTTTTTCATCATAAAACTTTTCCTTGGCCATTGGATGCCAGTCAATAGCAAAGTATGTGTGATCTATGTATAATAAAAACATATAAAAGCCATGAACTACTAAACAAATGCACAGCAGTGAAGTCACACTAACACATCACTATGAATAAAGATATGTGAAAACAGTTCATAAGTTTAGTAAACTGTGAATGGTTACATATTTCCATTTTGTAACATCTAGGGAAACAATTTTTTTAAAAGTTCTTTTTGTGAGTTATTAAAATAAAACTCTTTTCAAACTCGGCATCGAAGTCCTAGAGAAATATCTGTTTTATGCCAGTAAATTAATCAATTTAAGCAAAACTGATTACACCAATCAAATGAGTATATACACAAACTACAACTATGTCATCTCTTAAAATACCAAGTACTTCAGAAAACAACTCACTGTGAAACCAAGGCTTTAAACGTGAAATAGAGTTTTCATTTAAAATACTTGAAAATCTGTAAATCAGGTGCAACTTTGTTCTAACATAAACAAATCACTGCTTGGGAAGAGTTAATGAAAAAACCTGAAACATGAATAATGTCCAGAATGTTAAGGTTACACAATGTCTAAGCAACCTCAAATCAAGATAATAATAATGAAAACGTTCACAAGGGACGTAATGGAGGGAAAAAATTCCAAAACAACTAAGTGCCAAAGAAGAAGAAAAAAAAGTCAAACAGCAACAAAGGTCAATAAAGAGAATCAGTTTTCAATAAACTAAAAATACTGTAGCAGAAAGCAAGAAACTGACAGTAAAAGTGACATTACTACAGCAGACAACAAGAAACTGACAGTAAAAGTGAAATTACTACAGCAGCTGACAAGAAACTCTGACATTCAGTGTGAAATTAATACAGCAGACAGCAAGAAACTCTGACATTCAGAGTGAAAATACTTCAGCAGGCAGCAAGAAACTCTAATGCTCAGAGAGAAAATGCTATAGTAGATAGTTAGGATCTTTTCTCTTTGTTTTTGATGATTTGAATAATGTTTAACACATGTAGTATTATATTTCTCCTGATCCAATGAAACTTACCTAATAACTTAAGAGGTTTCCCATCATCCTTCAATTTTTCAACCTCTACATTTGCATATGGATTAACCTGAACTATAGTGAAGAGATTCGGGGGTCTTGTTCTTCGTTCTTCTGTGTCTGAATCATCTAAATTTTCTGGGTTGTATCTTAACTGGTCATTGTCAGAGTTATCCTCAATAGACATCTCTACTTCTGGTGGAAAGAATATAAATGTTTAAACACATAAATCATATTGATTTGACGAGATTAGAATATGGTTTGTAAAATATTGTATTGTATGTTGTTGTTTTTTGTTATACATACATTTCAACCTGCGAGTTTTTCTTTCACTTCAAAATGATCTATAACTGTATTGTGAATAATTCTAAATAGATGAAATATTCCAGTTAAAACAAAAGCAACAACTTGGATGCTGAAATACTTTGGTTAATTTGCTGCTTCCGCTTAAGAATGAGCAAGCTCTCTTTCATATGAAGGCTTTTTTTTTTACACTAGCGCTTTTTAAAATAATTTTTGAGTGGACACGTATATCATACTCACCTATAGCATGCTCTAACACATTTGATTTCTAAATGACATGATGTCCAAATAGTAATATTGACAAAAACTATAGACAGAGGGCTACAAACAAGCCATAAAACTTAAACATGTTCTTGTATAGTACAATCACTTTTGGCCAGTAAGGGAATCATACTAAGGAAATAATAGCAGTGATAAATGTATAGGCACCATGAAGACTGTTACTTCACATATGTACAATTTCTAACTTCATCATTCAAAAAAGACCTTAAACTCAAATGCGTTATATAGGATCATTCAAACAAGGCCTCAAACTCAAAAGTGTCATACAGGATCATTCATAATTCAACAAGGCCTCAAACTCAAAAGTGTCATATAGGATCACTCATCATTCAAACAAGGCCTCAAACTCAAAAGTGTCATATAGCATCACTCATCATTCAAACAAGGCCTTAAACTCAAGAGTGTCATATAGCATCACTCATCATTCAAACAAGGCCTTAAACTCAAGAGTGTCATATAGGATCATTCAAACAAGGCCTTAAACTCAAAAGTGTCATATAGGATCATTCATCATTCAAAAAAGGCCTCAAAAGTGTCATATATGATCATTCATCATTCAAACAAGGCCTCAAACTCAAGAGTGTTATATAGGATCACTCATCATTCAAATGAGGCCTTAAACTCAAGACTGTCCTACAGGATCATTCATTATTCAAACAAGGCCTTAAACTCAAGTGTGTTATATAGGATCATTCAGAGAAGGCTTTCAATTCAAGTTATATATAGGATCGTTCAAACAAGGCCTTAAACTCATTTTATATAGGATCATTCATACAGGACTTAAACATAAGTGTTTTATACAGGATTATTCAAACAATGCTGTCATCTCAAAAGTTTTATATAGGATCATTCAAACAAGGGCTCTCAAAATTATATCTTGTGATAGGACTCAGTGTCAGATGTATTATATTCAGTGCAATCTTTAATCAAATTTCAAAATTACTCATTCAAATATCCAAACAAGGTGTTCTCACATTTTTTTCAGACCTGACTTAAATATTAAAGTGATGTTAAAAATAATTTTTAAAAGGGGGACTATTATTGCCTCAAAGTAGACCTAGATGACATCCTGCTAACCAAAAATACTTTCTATATATCATTACACCTATTACAGAATAAATATAAAGTATATATTTCATGTAATATGATATCCAAAGTATTTTGTTTAAAGACTTAAAAGAAAATCTACCTCCATTAAATCCCTTTCTGTTATTTTCAATCCACCACTTTTCACTGCTGTTAGGCTGACGTACATATCGGCTACAAAAAAACATTGAAAAGAAAAAAACTGCTTTTCAAAAATTTCAGAATAAATCATCTACAATAAAAAAACCACCAAAAAACTCCTTAGTTAACCAAACTTTCTACTATTCTTTTCTTGACAATGACATACCGATCAAATTCTTGTCATGTCCAACCTCGTGATGTATGATGGAGAAAAAGTAGTTGGTTAACTTATTTCAGATTTACTGTGGTTTTCTCTAAACGCTATCCATTACTACATCTATAACTTTCATAACCATTCCATCACTTTCCTCTTATCAAAGTTTATCATTTTTTGTTAAATATAGCTGATGAGTTGTATTCAGTTATTTTCAGTCTTGCTTGATCCAGAAACATGATTAGTATAAATGACAAGAAAGAAATTTTCCCTAACCCTAACTACCAGCATAAAATGCCAGATAATCTGTGAAGATACTAGAAAAAAACCAAGTTCTTAGAATATATTATCTGTCTACAATATAAAAACAAACACTTTTAAAATGAAGTGATTACATTTTAGATGTTAATATATGATAATAAGATACTTTTGTTGAAACATGGTTGAACATTATGTGCGTATTTATGAAACTGTTTACAACTGCATACTTGTTTATTTGTAGTTATGCACAAAGCTACACAATGGGTTATCTATGCTCTACCCACCACGGGTATCGAAACCAGGTTTCTAGCGTTGTAAGTTCGCGGACATACTGGGCGGTAACTGCATAACATAGTTGTTTGTAGTGTGGTATCTGTAAACCTTGTCATAATGTGTTAAAGTTGAAACAGACCTCCCCCAAAATGACACTTCATAAATATCAACTAGATGTTTTATAAATATATTATCAGATGAAGATATTGAGAAAAGAAGAGAAGCTTTTTCTGCCAAAGATGTTGATATACAAAAAAATAAAACAACCCATAGCTTAGAAACAAAAACTTTCAAATAAAGAAGTTCACATGCATTTTTTATATACGACATATCCAGAGTTAGAAATGTCTGAAGTCTACTACTGGGATCACCAATTAACCAGATGTCTTTCATAGCACAAAATTATAGTAATTTATAAAAAGCATAAGAGATCTGACTACTGCTTGTACTTTGCTCTTCTTACTTCTACTATTTTGCCAGAACTATGCTGGCAGATGGTCCTTGTGTCCCTATTAACAACTTTAATAATATTTGTCCAGGTGCAAAAAACAATGTAATTGACTTTAATGCATACAAGCTTTTTTCTCCCCACAGAAAACAAAAAATTTTCTAAAGGAATCGCTAATCGTCTCAACATGCTAACTGTTTGTTGTTGACGTTATGATGTTCCAAGTAATCTAACACACTGTTGTTGTTGATGATGTTGTGATGTTGAAGTAGTCAAAAGACTGGTTTCAGAGGAATCTGTTAGACAGAGATGGACAATCTTGTACTTTTATTCAAGGAAACTAATATAATCCACTGTAAATCCAATCTGTCAAATAACTGATAAAAAAAATGACTCAACACTTACAAAATGTTTCTCAGGATCGTGTTGTACAACAGTTCATAAGTACAATCATATCTTGGTACAGACACCAGCAAAGGGTGGCCAAACAGGGTGACTGCATAGTTGCTCATACCAGTCTTTAATCTACAATGAAATTAAGACTCCTATATTAACAACTCCCGAACGGGTATATATATGTGTGTGTGTGTATATATATGTATATATTACATAAAGTCTTGTAATTAACAACTAATGCTCTTCACAACACCGATAACAATGGTTTATTTAAAGCTGGACTTTAAAAATACAATCACACCTTGCATATGATAGATATAATAATTTCTTAGTACATTTAATGCAAGATATAATTAGATAAAATGACACAGAAAGATTATATACACTGGTTTACAAGTAACGATAAATAACACATTATAGTGCAAACAGCTGTGTCAAACATATAATTATGCAATTTTTTTTTTTTTTACCTATGAAAGAATATTCTACAATTCTTTTACTAGTACTTCAAAACTCTGCAAGCACCAAATTGAAATAAACTTTTATTGTTAAAAAGCTTTTCTCTTGCTTCAACACCTTACAATTTTTCTCTCAAAGGTAAAATAAAATACTGCTATTACTAGCATTACGACTACTTAAGTGTAAAAAAGTAAAGTTAAGGTGAAGTCTTCTGGTAGAATTCTCCTGTTGTGTTAGTCAAAAACATTTGCCAGAAACAAGGAATTTGATATATAGCTTTCTTTCTCATTGTTTACAGGGGTAAATAATTTGAAATTACAAGTAAGTTGTATAAGTTTTTACAGTTTTACTTAAATAAAACAAATGAAACTACATTAGAGCTGGTATCCAATAATGTACAGAAACTTATTGTACTTTTTAGATCAGAAACTGAAATACAAAATTTATAAAAATCTTTAAAAGAAAAAAAAAAACTGATTTATGGCTTGAGATTTATTATTAAGAAAATGTGTTTCATTTCAACAATAAATATTCTACTAAAAAGCATAAACCTTATACATGAGGATAATCCACAGAAAAATAATAAAATAGAGGAACAGAATTCATCCTATTTCACTGGCACAGTAAGAAATATATTAGTTTTTGAAGCATAGTCAAAACAAAATAAATATAGAAAAATAGAAAATGAAAGTTTACAAAATGATTTATCAAAATCATAACTAAATTATCTATAAAACAGAAACCTAAACCTATATTTGTATTTACTTGTAGACAAATGTTTTCTTGTATGATAATAGCAATAACATACTTGTTTTACAAGTTAAATATTAATCCCTATCATACACTAATTTCTATTAAAAAAGTCTTTCAAATCAGCAAAAAAAAATTAATGATTAGCTGTATCTTTTCTGCTAAACAAATCTTAAATCTTGGTACTTTTTTCTGTCAGTGATGGCAAATTCTTAATTAGGAACACATCAAAGCATTAACCTTTTATCTCTCATGCATACAGGAAGTACGATATAGTTAGAATTCTTAGTGAAGGCAACTTCATACCTGTAAAAAAAATATAAAAAAATGCTGTTAATAATTTCAGTAATAACAGCATGGATGAAAAAATTTTTAAATGAAGGAAAGCTACAGACAGAATGAATGTTGAAAGGTATTGTTATATCGTTCAGATTTACAACTTGGAATAGTACATTTGTTTTCTATTTGCACATTATCTCTCTGTTTATTTTTCTTTATAACACTTCTTCCTTAGCATGACACAAAATACAAATATTTTCCCATCAGTATACAAATGTACTATAATACCAGAAAGACTACTCATGGTTGGAGAGTGTGTATGCTGTTTATCAAGATGTGTTTTACTATTAAAATGTTCAGTGCATGTATAAGAATTTTAATATAAAATTAATGAATACAATATAAATCAACCATAAAAATTTCTTGAATACGTATGCATCTAATAGTGTACTATAACAGAATAAATTTGAGTGGCAAAACAATGATCTTACTTATAGCATCATAACTACACATTAATCTATCCTTCCACCAAATTGTCAAGTAATGCACCACAATTAATTATATTACATCTCTTCATAAGTAAACACTTATAGCTACATGGTCCGGCAACAATTTACACCACAGTGCCTGACCAAATAGTTATGTTTGTTTACTTATGAAGAGAATAATGTAATCACTTGTGGGGCAAATGTTGGCAAGACATAAATGATCTTTGTTTGGGTGAAGAGAATAATGTAATTACTTGTGGGGCAAATGTTGGCAAAACATGAATGATCTTTATTTGGTGTGGTGTTGGTGTTGCCTGACCAAATAGTTATGTTTGTTTACTTATGCCTGACCAAATAGTTATGTTTGTTTACTTATGAAGAGAATAATGTAATCACTTGTGGGGCAAATGTTGGCAAGACATAAATGATCTTTGTTTGGGTCAACAACTTAGGCCATATTACACCAGACAGGGATCACTCAAGTGTTGCCAATGTGTGAACAATTCAGTCTGTTGGTTCAAAAAAACTTAAAAACAGTAGTATCGTGATTAATTTATTAGAATTTTAAACAACGTTTAATTGTTTCATTGAACTTTTTCCTGCGTCAACTCATGAATAGCAAAACATACTTACACAAACATTTTTTCTTGCTCCAGAATGTTGCTAAGCCCTTCATCTCCTTGAAATATCTTGTGGAACCGATGGTTATATACACTTGTCACTACAAGCTATGACAAAATTACAAATTAAATAATTTTCAATGTTATTGATTAACCATCATTATTTATTTTGTATGTCCATAAAAATAAACCTCTAATATGTACAAAAAACAAAAACTAGGAATAATGGCTATTTTTATTAATTAGGAACAAAGTTCATATGGCTACAACAATTATAATTTGAGAGACTGAATATGATAAAAACAACATATCTACTAGCTTGTACATGTACATAGTCAAATGTCAGTAAATTCCAATTTTATGCTTGTTATAGTTTTCATACTATAACTTTTAAATTAGTAAGCGAATGCTAACGAAAAATTTGGCAGATTATGAGTAAACATTACAATGCTTTCATACACAAAATATTACTTTTTTTTTTTATCAAGCTTAAGGTTTGTAAAGCAATGTTTTTCTCATGTCTTTGTTTTCCTTTTCACATGTTGCCAATCTATCATGCAAAATAATATTCATTTTAAGATTAAAAATACTTTTATGCA